TCCTATCCTACTGACTTAAGATGTGGACACTATGACCGCTGACGGCATTGAACTGCTTGCTTTATGGTGTGTTTACGGTTGACGCTAATTTCAAGGGAATTTTTCTTTTCTGGACAAGAAAACATGATGTCTTAAAGTATTTTGATGTATTCAAAAAGGATAAATATCAACATAAGACAATCATCCCCATACCATGATGTCTAAGCCACCATGCCTAACAGGCTTAACCCTCTCCAGGCGGATGTTGCAGAATTGCAACAGCTAAATGCCACTTAGCTAATTACTCCGCAACCATATTTTAAGAGCTTTTGTTACTCAGAAGTACTACAGAAGGACTTAGTTGTGCATTTGCAACAGTTTCTCTCCAGCTAACCAGATAGCACTGCTGACTCACTTTCAACATGGCTGAGTCCTTGGTGTCACTGAAACAGATTTTCTAAGCACCAATTTCATGTAAGTATCACTACTAATTTCCATTATTTTGAAATCAATACTACATAAGATGAATCATGAATATGTATAGATATGACACATGCCAATTAGTAGATTTTATCTCCTCTGGGTTTTTCACCAGAGGCATCTTGATTTCAATGTTGTGGATTCGCAACGTGTGCCCAAACAGGTAGCAATAGATGCTACATGCTTTATCTATTAGTTTGCCTATATTTTGAGCAACAGTTTAACAGAAACTGCCTTCTCAAGAGGTTCTGAGATGTCGGTTAATATCAGATTCAGTCTTCAGTGTTAATTTACCACTCCGGGCCACTGTTGCAAATCTGCAACATCCTAGAATTCATTGCATGTGAAGTTCACTCTCAAAAACGGTTCAAGCCCCGACTCCGACTTTTAGTGTCGTTGTGTCCTTGGGCAAGACACTTCACCTGCATTGTCTACTGATGGTGGTCAGAGGGCCCAGTGACGTCAGTGTACGGCAGCCCCGCTTCTGTCAGTGAGCCCCAAGGCAGCTGTGGCTACAATGTAGCTTGCCACCATCAGTGTGTGCGTGAATGGGTGAATGAATGTAGTGTAAAGCGCTTTGGTCAAGTCTGCTGACTTGAATAAAGGCGCTATATAAGTACATGCCATTTACCATTTACAACTTAATTTGAGCCTGAAAGGGTTAATTGCAGAGCTTGAGGATCATTTGTCAAGCTGTCAGCGGCCTTTTAGACCTAAAAGGAAAAATCTAGCCTTTGACCGACAATAAGCTTCCCTAACAACACTGGGTCCATGCTAAGCTGTAGCCACCATTGTTCAAATTAAAGCTGGAGCTCAGAAAACTAGTGCTGGAAACCAATAAAGCCCAACGTGTCAGGAGCATTAGGTGTAATGTGTTTCCTTTGCAAAGGAAAGAAAATATACATGAGGCAGAGGAATGCGGAGGATAAATGTCCTTTATAACTCTGGTTGGCTCTCGTTTATAAGATAAACCAAGTCTTTTGTTTCAACTCATCTGTGTGTTTTCATATTTCCACACCTCATCGTGTGCAGGAGAGATATTCTCCTTCACCAAATAGGCAAAGGAATGGGATCCTTTTAAGACCACTGGGTAAATGGGGTGATCTTGAAAAAACCTGGAGAGAGCGTCCCAGCTGCTGAAACACACGAAGGCCTGGAGATGAAAACATGAGGAGCGTCAAACATCCAACCGTAACTTATGAGAGAAACATTTTAGAGAGCAAACATGGGAGTTTTTTTACCCTCTTCTGCAGAGGTAAAACCATCACATTGTAGTGGAGTGTGGGAAGATTCTGCTCTGGAAAATACTTAAACACCAGCGCTGCCACGTCCTGGTGTGTGTAGGTTTCATTTGGTAAACCCGACAACATGACTGTAGGGTGAATGAGACCTTCCAGCTTGCATTTCTGCAGGAATTGAGGTTTAAAAGTCAAACAATTATGCAAAAAATAAAACAAAAAACAAACTGCTGATAGTTTAACCTCAGTGATCTTTTATAATGAATGAATAATAAAGGAAAATAACTGAAGAAAATCGTGCTTGCCATATATTTTTAATTATGAGAGCTTTTTTAAATTTTTCATTAAAAATAAAAGAAAATGTGGAGAACAGAATAAACCCTCACCTTTATCGTGTCCCCTGCAAGCTGTTGCCAGTAAGCTAGGAGTAAAAAACACAAAATAAAACATTAACACTGACAGTAATAAGATTAGAAATTTAGAATAACATCAGTCTAAGCCTTGAGATTAAACGGTCACATTTTCAGCTTTTAAATGCAAACCAATATAAAACTCACATCAAAATCAACCAGCTGCAAAGGGAAAATCAAGGGTAACATTTTAATTAAATGAAAAAACAAAAATATGGGTTTAAGTTCTAACAAAGAAATGCATGTGAGGTAAATTAAAAGATTTTTATTTTATAATGAAAAATAAAACTTAAGAAAAGAGAAATCAATGACTTCTCCGGGGGTATAAAGAAGGATTAACACAGAGGGTTGTTTCTGCTAGCCTGTAGGCACAAGACTGGACCAATTTACCTTCATACCATAAACTGATGGTAATGGAGGTAAAACATATCCCAGAGCTCACTGTTGGACAGAAAGTGGCATCAAAGTGCCTCAATAATTACAATTAAATATCATCTACATGCTAAATTGTATTTTAGGAGTTTTGCCAGGAAAAAAAAATCGTTTCCGTCCTGATATAACAAATGTAAACATGTTTCTTTGCTTTGGTCAATTGAGGGTAAGAATGAACATTTCATTTAATGTGGATGAGTGGAAGTGAACCACCTTGTGATACGTTGCTATGACAACCTATCAAAGACCTTAGGACAGTCTGATCAGAGCAGAGAAGATGTAAAAGGTATAAGTCCTCCCAGTTTGATTCCACGCCTTAGAAGATAGACCTTAAGTCTGTAAGTTTCCCTTACCTGGGATGATGAACCAAGGAGTTGCAGTGGGGAACAAGAAGGGTCTAGTTGTCATAGTAACCCACAATGGTGCTCTGCAGCCCTTAGGAATGACTGCCCTGTCCTTAATCACAGCTAAGTCAGGAAAACGCAGGGCTGGCATTCTAGGTGCTGCAGGAAAAAAAAAAAAAAAAAAACCTAATGTGAGGCATCTCTGCTTCTTTTCATATTAAAATGGCTCATATTTAAGCCCCCCTTCTGGAGAGAGAAATAAGATGTAAAACTGAAAGTTGTTCACACTGTAAGAAAATGTGTTAAATATTAATTACAAAACATAATTAACGGTACATTCCACCAAAAAAGGCCATAAACACTTAATAAATATCAACATGTCCCCAGTTTTTTTTTTTTGATAGATTCTACTACATTTTGTAAAAAAAAATTAAATATTTTATCATTAAGTATAATATCTTTAAAACTTAATTATTAAACATTATTTGTAGTCGTATATGAACATAAAAACTTTAGGGATTTAAAGTGGAACTTTGTGGCCGATTGTGTCAGAAAAGACAATCCCACCTTGGGTAACAGGACACTGAAATACCTTTTTCCTTTTGCAACAAACCTACCTGTGTTTGTCTGGCTTTTTTAACTTTAAAGATTAAGAAAATAAAAAGTAGAGCCTGTCAGCATGTGGACTAACAGCCAAGCCCTCTTGCTCTGTTCTTACCAAGAGTTTGGGAAATATTTGTCATTCAGTACAAATATAACAGTTAGGAGAGAAATGATACAAGTGTATTAATAACTGGACAGGAATAAAATTTAAAAAACACATTTTTAAAGTTGTTTTTTGTTTCAGTTTGTGGATTTGGTAGCACGGTCTGTTAGTTTGCAAGGTTAATACTGTTTAGGTGGCATTGATGGAAAGTTTGGGAACGTCTGAGTATAAATATCCTGAACATCTGATCCTTTTTGAGCAGGGGTCACCAATTAAAAATCAGCAGGATCTGAATAAAGAAAAACAACCAGTAAAGGTCCGGAGACATTTTTCATTTTAACACTGAAATAAAATGCAGGCGTTTATGCATCCGTTTTATACATTGAATTTTTGAATAAAAATTATAAAAAAAAAAAAAAAAAAGAAAGTGTTTCCATTTTGCAATCTAGATTGTTTTTGAATTGTGTTTGAATCTGTCAGTTCAGTATCTATAGACAATTTCCTAATTCACTTTTTTTTTTTTTTATAAAACACTTAAACTGACCTCTTTCTTTTTTCATGGCTAAATTAGAGCAGTGGGCCTTATGCTGCCATGCAAGGCTTTGAACCTGGGTTTGAATGGAGACTAAGTCATTCTAAAGCACATATCAAGATGCTCATTTTGAGCCTGGATACATATTGATTTTTGATTCTGTTCATGGTGAAGAATCCTGCTTCACAGCAGCAGGTTGAGCCAAACATACTCTAACTGTGCAGGGTCATTTTTGAGTTCACCACAGTTCACCACAGTTCTTCCAGCAATCCAAACTTTCTCTGCTCTCTGTTTCTCACCATCTTCTCCTTCTTTTCCATCGCCCGGCTTGCCACAGGTTTACCTGCTGTGTCTGAAAGTAGCTAGCAGCAGCGACCCAGACCGGCAGCTCATTGGCTAATTTGTATCTCGTGTAGCCTGGTGCCGGAAGCTCCGGAGGGCTTTACCGTATTAACAGGAGAAGCGGTGCATGTGAAACTAGACACTGTAGTTGGACAACATGCAGTAATTTATAAATGTTTTAAATCAGGTTGGGTCCAGATTAGTGTGAGATGAGACTGTACCTTTCCTCAGCCAAATTGAAGTTACCTTGAGCCTGTCTATGCTGGAAGTTATGTGGGGAGTTGGGAGTGAGATGACAGAGAGCAGTTGCCTCCTAACCCTAGACAAAGGTGAAATATAGATACATGCCCTTCAAAGTCTTTAAGACTCCCTAAGGCCATAATTGGAAGAGACAGCTGCTTTGAAATGTTATCTGACTAGTGAAAAATGGATGTCTTGAATGAACTCAAAGCTGTTTCTCTTGGGAAGACGTGTGGGAATTATCTTTATATGCAGGGGTTGGAGACCATCCCGCCAGAGAATCAATAACAATTTAACTGTGAGTGTTGTTCTCCTCTGCAGAGTAAAATAAAACTATTTCTTAATAGCATATCAACTCTCAGTGCTCATCTTATTTCCCATTAGCCAGCAGGTGGCTCCGGATCCGGACCCTGGTCTACTAATCTGTGACCTCTGCTTTAGAGAATACAAATCTCTGTTCATCCTCCCCAGGAACAAACTTAAGTGAAACAGGTTATGTTTTTTTTCAGGTTCTCTAAATAAAAACCCTACGATTACTACAGACTATCCAGTCTGCTGCTCGGGCAAACCCAAGAAGTGTCCCTAATAAAGTGGCCAAAGACTGCTAATTAATTTTCCATCCTCTCCACTGATCTTGGAGCTTGATTTATAGTAAACAAATGGTATTCTACGCAAATCTGTAAGCTTCAGGGAAGGAGAATAAAGATTGTTGGCTGTTTTTTTGTCACTGAGGCTTTTTTCAGTGGGTTCAGACTCACCTTTGGCTCTTAAAGTGGATCCATCCAGCCTGTAAAGGGAGAAAGGACGCCCATGCTTCGGGAAGCTGTGATACACTCCAAACCGATCACAGTCAAAATACGTTTGAAACTCCACAAAAACCTGTAAAATCCAGGACCAAAGGTCAAGTTTTATACAAACAACCTGTGACCGTGTGATTTGTTTTTCCTTTTTACCTTGTTCAGCAGAGGCAGGTAATTTATCACACTCCCAATCTTTTTTAACTCCTCTCTGAGCTCTTTGGCATCAGTTCCTGAGATGTTCTGGATGTAAACTACTCTTTTAGGATCCATATTTCTCTGTTGATGCAGTGAGAGTAGATCGACAATCGTTTTTGATTAATACATTAATGTTAACTATGGTTACCAATGGCAACCACAAAGGAGAGAGTGAAAAAGAGGATTTTACCAAGACAGAGATAAATGTGTCAGTGAGTGAAGTGGAGAGTCTAATAAATATGTTTGAGTATTTCAGCAGAGAAGTGATAAATAAAGTGAAGTAAATCAAATAGCGACAAGTCTTAATATATGAGCAAAGACATTAAAGACTGCAGGCAGTGCTGTGCTTTGCGCTGGCTGTGATATCTCAACTTAATGAATACATTTACAGAGTTTCTTTTTGTTTTTTACATAACTTTAGACATAGTTATTTTTTATGTACTGATTGATTTCTATTTAATCTTTATTTATATTCACCAAATCTAAGATCTTATTTTCTAGAAATCTTGTTAATTATGTTTAACACCTGCGGGAGGATTTGCACTGGTAAGAGCCGATTGCCAGAGACCTCAAAGTTGTAAAAACCTCCATTCAATCATAAGAAAAAACATGGATAAGCAGATAACTGAGGGATAAGATTTAATATTTATACCTTTATAGAATCATGGATTATCTTGGATCTTTAATTAACCTACTGCGGCATGAAGCCATGCCATTTTTCACCCATATAACTTTGTGCTTATGCAAGCTTCATACATAAGACCCCTGATAATGTAAGAGCCTTTATGCTCCCTTAAAAAAATAAAAAAATATGTGAGGAAAGGTTTTCATGCTGACTCACTGCTTTGTTCTGCTTGTTAATCTGTTTTGCCTTTATTTAAATTCTGTTTTGAACTTTGTCTTGTAAAGATGATGGTAGAGTAGGACTGAATTTTTTCTCAAGAACATTCCAAAGATTTAAAACTTAAGATGTGATGCTTGCAACACAAATGGGAAACTTCATCTGAAACACCTAAAAAGTCTGAATTATGATTATTATATATCTATTAGGGATGCACGATATTGGGATTTTGGCCGATATCC